TATCTATTGTATATATGGGTTTTGTATGATTTTGTTACATATATTGTTATCATTTTAAACAATTCTAGATAAAGCCTTATTTATAGTACCTTAGGGCCTTTGCAGACTGCCAGAAATAGTGCAAATTGAGTACACTTTAAGGATTAGGGTTAGGTAATCATGGGAACTGTATTTTATTGTGGCACCAGAGCTCTCTGACAGATAAGGCTCAATGTCTCAGAATAAAATACAATTCCCATGATTCCCTAGCACTGAGCCAGGGCAATTAAAGTGGACTCAATTTGCACTATTTCTAGCAGTCTGCAAAGGCCCTGAGTCTCATTTTGTCTCTTTTCAAATCCATTGTCCTAACAATAACTACCAGCTGTGTAATACTGCTGGTCAGGGGTTGTTACAAGTGAAATAAAATGCTAAAGAAGAAAAAAAATCCTTCAGTGAATACATCAAAAGAAAGAAAAGAAAAAATGTTAACAGGTGTATATAGAGTATATTTTTTGAACACCAACGAAACAAAATATGTGTACAGAAGGAATGAAAAAGTTTCTCAATGCCTAGCAAAACAGACCACAGTAATACATAGTCAGTGCATTGAAAGCACTAGAAATGGTTACAGAATAGGGCACTGGGGGGAGGGGGGGAGAAACTGAAGGATTATATTTGTAGCTCTAGAACATGTGCTCCAGACAAACAGCATCATGGTTAATACTGAAAAAATAATTACGGATAGTAAATCTCATGTTTGTAAAGAAAAAGACGAGACTTTTGACCACCTTATTCATTTGTGCAGCAAGATTATATATATCAAATACAAGGAATGCAAGATAAAGATGCAATGACACCTTGGGACTGATGCCAAGTAATATAATTTACCATTTGCAAAGAACTAGTGAGAAGGTGAGCCTGAAAAAAAATGACTGAAAATAGTAATAAAGATTTAGATAAAAAATTAGAACATAATATGCCAGACATAACTGTGCTTAAGAAAAAGAAAGCTTGGATTATACATAGGGCAGATACAGGGGATAGCAGAAGTGAAGACAAAGAGGGGAAAGATTATGAAGCATCTAGATTTACAAACTGAGATTCAGTGAGATGGGTCCAAAACGCATTGCAAAAATAATCCAGTTTGAGGCTGCATTAATTGCCCTGGCTCAATGCTAGGGAATTCTGGGAACTGTAGTTTTGTGAGACATTTAGCCTTCTCTGTTAGAGAGCCCTGGTGCCACAATAAACTACAGTTCCCAGGATTCCCTAGCCCTGAGCCAAGGCAGTTAAAGCGATCTTGAACTGAATGATTTCTGCAGTGTGTTTTGTACCATAGAATCGGAATCATCATGGCCCCAAACTCCAGAACACCTGGTAGATGGTGAAAAAGAGATAAAAATACTGTATCTGTAGCAGCTATAACCAATTGGGCCATAATGTTAGATGCCTCAGTATTTGGCAATAATATTTTTCCTTGTTATCCAAGTTGCAGTTTCAGTTCAATATTCCTAAGGGACAAAAAGGAAGCAAATTGTTTCTGCAAAGACATTTGACCAGAATATTTTACCACAGAGGGGAGATTTTGAGTTTTAAATTCATTAGTCATTTTTTACTAGAAGTCCAGTGTTAGTGAAAAGAAGCCAGATGCAAAATTACCCATGGCACTTCACAAACCATACTCTGGGAAAACCTGCATATGTAAATACAGACCCTTACCTGAGCCACTACAAATTATAACAGTCTAATTTACACCTAAATTGCTGTTGCTGAACAGCAGTTGAAGACTCTTGATGATCTGCTGTAAATCTCCCAAATCACCCAAAGATCTAAAATTAGATCCTGATCTATTTATTGCTCAACAGTGTTTTTAAACCAAGGCTTTCTGAAGAAGGTGTGAACAACAACATACAATAAAAATATGAAGATAAAATGTAACCTTTACACTTTTAGAAACTGCCTGATTTAAGTGCAACATAACTATGCTGGTGTATGGCAACATATTAAGAAAATGTTAGTATATGGAAAGGCGTGTCAGTGCAGATTTTTCAGAAAGCACATCTTCCATTGCCTTGAACACTTGGTTTTTCTTGCTAATTTGACAATTACAACTATAGTTCATAATCAACTTATCCAGCTATAACTTGTTACAACAATGTTACTATTCAAAAGAAGGTGTTTACAAAATGGCAATTCACTCTCTCAACTCTTATATATTGAAGTATTTCTTAACATCAATTTGAAAACATAAGGACATTTATCTTGGGTCAGACCAGAGCCCATCTAGTTTTGTATTCTTACAGTGGGAATCCCCAAGAAGCTATGAGTGGAATGGCTTCTTTCCACTTTTTCCTCAGCAAGTGATACTCATACTTCTCTAAGGGATTATACAGCCTAATCTGAAAAGTAGTCCTTGACAACCTTGACTTTCATTATTTTATCCAGTCTCCCTTTAAAATGGGGTGGACAATTGTCAGTTAGTAAGGTGCACTATCCCCCTCCCTGGGAATCTTAAAGGGCCACCCACACCTTCCAAATCCACACATTACTACACCTCTGAAAAAATTCATGTTTTGCAACTCAGTGCCCCCAAGAAGGTCCTGGAGGTCACTTCTGCAATGTTTTCAGCCCTGTCTCACTTCCAGGTCCTGCTTGAAAGAATTCCTAGAGCAAGACAAAAATGTGACAAATATTTTCTCTCTCTC